ATTGCCAAAAACATTTGTATTGGTTTTCTCTTCAGGTGTGTTCTTCCTGGTATGCCCCACGGAGAGCCTCAAGGTCCATAAATAACAACACCCTAGTGGTCCCGGGCCCTAAGGAAGTTAGATTGGCTTCAACCAGAGCCAGGGCCTTTTCAACTCTGGCCCCGGCCTGGTGGAACGCTCTGCCTCATGAGACCAGGGCCCTGCAGGATCTGATTTCTTTCCTCAGGGCCTGTAAGACAGAGTTGTTCCGCCTGGCCTTTGGCTTGGAGCCAGTTTGATTCCCTCCCTCTCTTTCTTTTTTCTTTTCCTTCTCCCCTGCGATGAGACTACATTTTAATATTTTAATGTTGTATTTTAATTTTGTTTTTAAGTTGTAATTATTCAACTTGTTTTTATTATTGCTTGTAAGCCGCTCTGAGCCCGGCCTTGGCTGGGGAGGGCGGGGTATAAATAAAAATTATTATTATTATTATTATTATTATTATTATTTATTATTATTAAATGTAATAGCTGCATTGTATGCTGGCTAGACAGACAAAATGCAATTTCAGACATTACAAGGTATGGGGGGGAACCATGGATGGATTTGCACTTTCCTTTATACTACATAGTGTATTGTCCTATGTGCCTCATATCTTTGGGCCTCGGAGATTATAAATTTATAACTATTTAGGATCTGTGCTATTATTTCTGTAGACTTGCATACCATAGGCATACTACTTACATATTATATGCAACTGCCGTTACCACTTAGAATGTGAATACTTTGCTGAAAGTCAACAATTGGATGAGTCTGAAAATTCTGGAGCTGAAAACTGGGAATTCTTTTTTCTTCTTCTCTTTTTGTAGACCCAGAGTTCTGCCAAATCTCCTGTTAGTTCCAACGTGGATGGCACAATTACATCCTCAGTGCCTGCATTGCTCTCGCAGACATCACCAGGAAATGCGCTTCAACCTCTTTCTTCTATGGAAACATCTAGAAATGTGTAAGCCTAATGGAAATTAGCAATTTCTTTGCTCTTTATAGCCATGGTTAAATTTTAGCCACTTACGCTCCACTTCCACTAGAAATTATGATACTGAGTAATAGTGAGAGGGCTTAGGTAAAGGTAAAGGGACCCCTGACCGTTAGGTCCAGTCGTGGCCGACTCTGGGGTTGTGGCACTCATCTCGCTTTATTGGCCGAGGGAGCCGGTGTACAGCTTCCGGGTCATGTGGCCAGGATGACTAAGCCGCTTCTGGCAAACCAGAGCAGCACACGGAAATGCCATTTATCTTCCCGCCGGAGCGGTACCTATTTATCTACTTGCACTGCGTGCTTTTGAACTGCTAGGTTGGCAGGGACCGAGCAACGGGAGCTCACCCATCGAGGGGATTTGAACCGCCAACCTTCTGATCAGCAAGCCCAAGGCTCTGTGGTTTAACCCACAGCGCCACCCGTGTCCCTTACAGTGAGAGGGCTTACTCCTGGTCAAAACATGCTACATAAAATGTGGCGTTTACCAAACTCTGACTACTCAGTTGGGATAATCCTGATTTTCCTTTTCAGGCCACCGTTTGCACATTTGATAGAAGAAAATCTAAGCTACCTCGACAATTTTAGCACTATTATACAAGAAGCAAAACGTGACCAGAGTAACAGCATGATGGTAAGTCTAGAGGGCTCCATTTGGCGTTGATTTTGAATAAGAACCTTCTGCAAAATGAGCAGCAAAGACTCTTCTTCCTTCTACCCCTGGAAGATAGAGACAAGTTCTTCTGTAGCCTTTTATTCAGTACATCTTGAGCTGAGCTGAAGTGGCTCTTTCAGTTTTGTGCGAGGGTGGTAAAATTTGGGGGCGAGTTCAGAATCCTTTTGAAATTTCAGATAACTTTTCAGTTTTAGTCCTGTCGGCTGAGGATTGGGAGAGGAGAGGGGCCGTTAATTTCCTTTCCCTGCTTGCAGAATTTTGTTAATAATCTTTAAATACTCAGAACTCTCCAGTTGCTTGCTCAGTGCACTTACTCCAAAAGGTTAATATTTTCACTTTGTGAAAATCAGCAAAAAGAAGAAGAAGAGAGGCATCTGTTGAGTGGGCTGTGTGGTAGAACAAAGAGATCTATCATGGGAGCAGGAGGGCAGGAATGGTAAAAACAGAGATCTTCCATTGCTCATCCTATTCCCTGTAGCCACATTTCAGCACTGTGTTTGAGGGCACTCAACAGATATGACTCCCCGTCTGCGCATCCCTTCCCTCCCTCTGTTAGTCACAGACTTCCCAAGCATACCACTCATGCTTCAACTCCACAACTGTCTCAGTATATTTTGCGCTGTGTAAGGGAATGTATGTGTCACTCGATTTTCTTCCACGTCTGAATTTCACTAACGGCTCTCTTCAGTTTTGGTTTGGATAGCTTTCCAAGAGGGCGACAAATTTATCAGGTGCATGCATTGATGATGACTAGTATGTATCCCATAATAAACCTGCTGGTCTTTAAGGTGACCAAGCTTCTAAGTTGTGTTTGCTTCCATAGACAGGCACAGCTACCTCTCTGGAGGGTGAGCAATTTGTTTTATTCATAGCATACTCTGGGTTTGTTAATGAGTCCCAAGTCTGGAGCATGGGGTTAATTGGGGTCAAACATTTCAATAACCCCATGATAAACCCCAATCATACACCTTCATTATCAGCCCTTCTGGTTTTGCTGGTGGAGACTACCCTTGAAAGTGCCACAAAACTTCCATTAGGCGTTTTCATATATTATCCCCTCTTAACATTTTTCATGTTAATGGTTTGTCTTCAGGGGAATAAATCATTTTTGTCATGTTGTCGCCAAAAGGCCAGGTCGTGTTCTGTTGGTTTTCTGGACTGACCTTTTGACTCTCCGGTAAAGAACGGCCTCTAATTAAAACACAAACCAACCAATTTGCAACCCCCTCCTCCACAAGGCCGCAAAATGTCTGAAATTATATTTCCCTTCGCAAGCCCCAGGGTCAGTGTTATGGGAGGGAGTCAGAATGCAGCCTCCTGGATGGTCGCCAGATTCTGTGTACAAATCTGTAGGCGCAAGACCATCGCCCAACTTAAAATAGTCCGGCATGAAAATCCGCAAACTCGGTTCCATGGGTGACTCTGAGTCAACTCCCTGGGATAGTTTATTGTTGCACATTGTTTCTAAATTTATTGTTGTACATTGTTTTAATTGTCTGTTTTAACCACATTTGCACATCAGTTTCTAATGCTGTGAGTGTCATCTGTTTCAGAGGCTTCTACTCTGCAGCCTCTTATAGTTGTTTTAACTGTGAGTCTTTTAGTTCTTATGCTCTTACAGTTGTTTTAACTGCATGTTTTCATTTGTTTTTAGTTATCTGTTTTAATTATCAGTTTTTATCCATCTATTATCCGTGTTCAATCTTGTATTTTATTCAGATGTTTTATCCTATGCTTCTTTCTTTGTCCTTATTTGCTCCAACATTTATCAATTAAAAAAAAATCCTAACTGCTATTTTATTTATATGTTGTTGTTTTTTTATCCTGGTCTGTGACCGTAATAGAGTTCATTCATTCAGCCTCCATGTTAAATGACAACCAGAGAAGTCTCCTTGGTTATCAGGTTGTGTCCTTTGCTCATCTTGCTCTCGCACACTGCTTTATACAAGGGAGCACAGCTGATTGTTGTCCTGCTTTCTTTTGCAGAGTCTCGATTGGAATTGGCTGAATTAGCTGAGTGTGTGAACCGAACTTGGAGAATTCGCAGGTGTGCTCTGTGTGCCTCTGTCCCGTCCTGGATTTATGATCACCTCCTAAATGCAACTGCCACTGCCTGAGAACCTTGCAGTTGAGGATGGCATTTTCATACATACCTGCTAAATCGTTCTTCTAAATCCAGGTTCGAGTGGCTCCAACCCTCTAATAGAGTTCTGCAGCTGCTGTAGTCAGTCAGTGGCCTTACACCCCTTTGCAACAAACATCAAGGTCTGCTGATTATCTTCAGAATTCCTCTTTCTCTTTAATTAATTGAGACCTTGTCAGACGTTGCCATGCTATATTTGTCCATTCCTGCTGGAACTTCTTGGAAAGTTGGCTGCCCCTACTTTTCACACTAAGATGTATAGTCCTGTTGGAGTCATGGGGGCATATAGTGCAATGTAATGAAATGTACAAAGAAATGATACAAATTGCCCTACGTGTAGTTACTGAATTCTACTAAGGCAGGAACTAGAGAGAAGACATGGAAAAGTCTGTAAATAGTTTGTAACATGGTTCATGAATTGGTTCCCCCTTTTCTCTCTGGTTCCTTAAAAATTATTGATATTTGTTCAGCATGGGTGGGGAATCTGTGGCCCTCCAGATGTACTTCCAACCCCATCAGTCTTAGTCAATTGTTTGAGAAGATGGGAGTTGTAGTCCAACACTGTATGTGAAAGGCCACAGGTCCACCATCCCTGTAACATGGAATATTTTGATTATATATCATCTATTTTTAAATATGTTGATTTTTGTATCACCTGACTTCAACCTAACTAGGGTGGGTTACAAATGTAAAAATAAATAAATGAATAAAATGATCCTAATCGGCAATGGGTTTTGCTAGCTCTGTTGTCATTGCATTGGAACTGTAACAACATATAACAGTTCCCCAGTATACCTTTGGAAGAAAGCTGCCCTTTTGGAAAAATTAACAGTTTGGGGGCTGATAGCACCCCTTTGATTTCTGGAAGTCTCCCCTAAGTTTATTATGAAAACTACAACTTATTTCAAATACTTATACGTAGGTGTGTTTTTCAGAAATAGAGTCCTGTGACAAGGGCACCGGACCGCTGTTCTCTTTGCAACTCTCTGTTCCCCCATGCCAGCAAATAAATTCAAATTGTACGATTACTCAAACAGTTGAACGGGTTACGCAGCTTGTACATGTTTTTACAATCTCAGATGTGTTTTGTACAGAACTTGGTACACACTACAGCAAACAGGGTAAACTTACAATGACTGAAGTCAAGTTTACTTGTTTTAACGTGGAAGTAGCTGAGCAGCCGTCCCTAAATAACAGGTATGCAGTCATCTTTGTATAGATCGAATTCTCATTTTCTGTCGGCGATGTACATGGTCATACATGTCTGACACGAGGAAATAGAAGTATTTGGTTTCTTCAGGTGGAACGAGACACAGCTCTTTCAGTAGATTCTGCATGCTGGCTAAGAGCCTTCTTATCAGTAGAATCTCGGAGCCAACTAGCTGTCCCGAGGATGCAGGTCTCTGGAGAAACTTCAGCAGGTCTGGATCTTTCGGCTACAAAAATCCAAATTTAAGATCCACAAACTGAAAAAACCAAGACTGCATTTACATAGAGATTCTAGGCACATTCCACGACTATACAGTGGTACTTCCAGTTGCGGATGGGATCCATTCCAGAGGTCTGGCCGGATCCCAAGGTTTTCGCAACCGGAGAGACCGCAAGCGTGGTGGTGGAAAGCATGCACAGAAGCACTCTACCGCTTTGCATATGCGTGCATGGCAAAAACCCAGAAATATACTTTCAGGTTTGCCGCTTACGTATCCCGAAGTTTACATAACCGGAGGGATACGTAAGCGGAGGTACAACTGTATTTTGATCTGGAAACACTCCTGGATTTAGAGCCTTGTACGATTCTAGGGACGCGGGTGGCACTGTGGGTTAAACCACAGAGCCTAGGACTTGCCGATCAGAAGGTCGGCGGTTCGAATCCCCATGACAGGGTGAGCTCCCGTTGCTCGGTCCCTGCTCCTGCCAACCTAGCAGTTCGAAAGCACGTCAAAGTGCAAGTAGGTAAATAGGTACCGCTCAGGCGGGAAGGTAAACGGCTGCTCTGGTTCGCCAGAAGCGACTTTGTCATGCTGGCCACATGACCCGGAAGCTGTCTGCGGACAAATCCTGGCTCCCTCGGCCAATAAAGCGAGATAAGCGCCACAACCCCAGAGTCGGTCACGACTGGACCAAATGGTCAGGGGTCCCTTTACCTTTACGATTCTAAAAGAGGGGGAGGATTCTGAATGCAGATTCCTCTGTTCGCTTATGAAAGTCATAAGTACAGAATGTGATGTAAAAGGGCCAGATATAGAATTCTTTTGTCATGTTAGCTTTCATCATAATTCTAAGTAAAGGCTGCAAGTATGAAGGTGCTTCCTGGGTCTCCTTTGCTAGAATTGCAGTGCAAGAGAGTTCAGAAGCTTTGGATCTGGTTTCAGTGCCAGCTTCAGCCCGGAGTTGGAGGGACATCCATCTTTAACCAGGATGGCATTCTGGGTAAGGAAAGGCAGCATGCGATACAGCTGCACAAAGGAGCAGGCTCCCTTTTTCTTCAGTCCGGTCCTGGCTCATGACAAGGAAGGAGGATTTAAACCAAGCCACACCATTTTTACTTGCAACAGGTATTTCCCCGCCTAGAAAGGACTAGGGACTTGAATGTAAAGTTCAATGTTTGTAGGCCTGAATATCCAGTTTGCGTCTAATTTACTAATTTAGCTTGGGCTTTTTTTCTTGAGTCCACACCTGGCTCCCTTCCCCCAGTTAAAAAACAGAGGCAGGCAAGCTGGAGAGAGACCTCATATTTTGATTATTCCTTATTTATCAGTATCACGTTCATATGCATTCCACCTTTCCTGCAAGGAGCCCAAAATGACATTCATGGGTCTCTATCCCTCCTGTGTTATCCCCACCACAAACCCTTGAGTTAGGTTAGGCTTAATATCCATCCACCTTATTCCACCTTCTGGATTAACTCAGTGAAGTTGTTTAGCTAGCAGTGTCTTTCCTCGCCTCCTTTCCCGGTTAGAGGGTAATACTGAAACATCTACAATACCTACTGCTTTTCCCAAGAAGAGGAACGTATGGTAAGAAAATTCTTACTTTCTTATGTAAAGCTTTTACTTAGGGAAGCATTAAAAAAAATCTGAATCGTATTTTTCTATTTTTCCCTTTTACCATCTTTTCGATTTTTATTTCTTTTATCTTTTCTATTTTTCCCTCCCCTCCTCCTGTGTTTTTATCGTATCTATATAAAAGTATTGGGTTTTTGTTAAAAGGAAGGGGTGGGTTCTACCTCCAATTATGAACTTGCACGGTCTTAAAGAGGGGCGCTCTTTAGCCAACTTTTGCTAAACTCCAAAAGTGGCTCGTTGCTAAAATTCTTTGGATTTCAGTTCACGAGCCACGTTTGGAGTTCAGCGAAAGTTGGCAAACATTTCTGACAAACAGAGGGAGCACAGTTTTAAGATTCCCTGCCACAGGCGTGTGAATGAGAATGCCACAGGCACTCACTTTCAGCTTGGCACCCACATTCAGCTGAAGGCAGTCGCGATTATTAGTAAACGTTAGGAAAATCTGGTCCTGGGCTTCAATTTTAACCTGGATGTAAACATTCAATTGAATGTAGATGGGTTGGAAAGGAGGTGCATGGATGTGGCTGCTCTTGTCCCACCAATTCCAGTGTTTCTTCCTAACTCCCTTCCGGTCAAAGTACGAGCCAAGGCAGAGGTCTAGATTCAACCTGTTTGGGGGCGGGGAGGGAATGAAACAAAAGACATTGGAATAAACTCTTTGATTTCTGATGGAGGAACAACAAGTGCGAAACTCAACAACCACCTTAGAACACATTAGTCCCGTGGCGTGAGGGTTTGTTGAACCCTTCCTTATCCCGTTCCTGAAGGCAGTCCTCTCCGTGAAGACTTAAGCTGGTCTATGTTCTTAAAAGTTTTGGGGGTCGTCGTTTATTGCTGGACAGAAAATAGCAAGGACTGAATCCTTTGGCAGGAGACAAAGGAGGAGAGACGTAATGGCTTTGAGCTGGTTGAAAGTGTAGTTTTAAAGCATTCGCTTCTCCCCTGTCTCTAATCAATCTCCAAAAGGAAGGTTTTGCAATGTGTGAGAGGCAGCAGAACAGAAGGCAAGCCTACTCTCTCCAATATACCTTATTAATAGGTACAGTGTATGTTTCTCACTGTGCATCAACTACCACAATGTATCCACTCTATATATTTTATTTCCAAGTTGTACCTTGGAAGCCTTGCGAGTCGCACGTTTTGGCTCCTGAACGCCGCAAGCCTGGAAGGGAGTGTTCCAGTTTGCGAACGTTCTTCGGAACCCGAACGTCTGACGTGGGTTCCGATTGGCTGCAGGAGCTTCCTGCAGCCAATCGGAAGCCGTACCTTGGTTTCCGAACGTTTTGGAAGTTGAATGGACTCCCAGAACGGATTCCATTTGAGGTACAACTATACAAACTTTTGGCTGCCTCACAACTTTGCTAGCGTACACTGGGTGGAATACAGTGTCACACTACAGTGGTGCCTCACAAGATGAAAAGAATCCGTTCCGCGATTCTCTTCGTCTTGCGTTTTTTTCGTCTTGCGAAGCAAGCCCATTAGCGGCTTAGCGCAATTAGCGGATCAGCTGATAAGCGGCTTAGCGCATCAGCTGATTAGCGGCTTAGCAGATCAGCTGTTAAGCGGCTTAGCGGATCAGCTGATAAGCGGCTTAGCGATCAGCTGTTTAGCGGCATAGCGGATCAGCTGATAAGCGCTTAGCGATCAGCTGCTTAGCGGATCAGCTGATAAGCGGCTTAGCGGCTTGGGGAAAAGGGGGGGGGGAGGAAAAAAAACCCTGCAGGAATTCGCAAGACATTTTCGTCTTGCGAAGCAAGCCCATAGGAAATTCGTTTTGCGAAGCACCTCCAAAACGGAAAACCCTTTCGTCTAGCGGGTTTTCCATCTTGCGAGGCATTCGTCTTGCGGGGCACCACTGTATTACAAACATTCTGTCTGCGCAAGCACTTAGTAGTAGTAGTAGTAGTAGTAATACAGTGGTATCTCGGGTTTAGAACTTAATTCGTTCTGGAGGTCCGTTCTTAACCTGAAACTGTTCTTAACCAGAAGCACCACTTTAGCTAATGGCGCCTCCTGCTGCCGCTGCGCCGCCACTGCACGATTTCTGTTCTCATCCTGAAGCAAAGTTCTTAACCCAAGGTACTATTTCTGGGTTAGCAGAGTCTGTAACCTGAAGCGTTTGTAACCCGAGGTACCACTGTAATAAATATTTAAACCCCACCCATCTGACTGGGTTGCCCCAGCTACTCTGGGCGGCTTCAAACAAATATAAAAACACAATAAATCATTAAATATTAAAAACTTCCCTAAACAGGGCTGCCTTCAGATGTCTTCTAAAAGTTGTATAATTATTTATCTCCTTGACACCTGACAGGAGGGCATTCCACAGGGAGGGTGCCACCACTGAGAAGGCCCTCTGCCTGGTTCCCTGTAACTTCACTTCTCACAGGGAGGGAACTACCAGAAGGCCCTCGGCGCTGGACCTTGGTGTCTGGGCTGAACGATGGGAGTGGAGACACTCCTTCATGATGGAAGGAATACTGCTCCCCTCTCCTCGCCCTGTTCTCTGCGTGCACAGACCCAAGCCAATTTTGGGCAGGGCAGGGGAAAGGGGGGAAGAGAAGTCCCATTGCACGAATGAAAGTCCATTTGCATGGCTTCCGCTGATGGGGCTGCATAGGTGAAACCCACTTAACATTTTAAAAATGTCTGCATGCAGGCATTTATCCTCTGTTTTCTATGTACAAATCCCGGGGAGGCTGTACAACTCCTGAACTAAGCTGCCTGCAAGCAGTTTGGTGATGGATTAAGATGAACAAACTGAAGATTAATCCTGAAAAAGAAGGCACTGCGATAAGGGAACAGGGTCCAGGGCAGGGAAGTGCTACCTGTTCTGGACAGGGCTGCATCCCACCTGAAGGACCACATTGGCAGTTTGGAAGCTTTTCTGGACTAAGCGCTGCCTATTCAAGCAAAGGGATCAATGGTAGCCAGGAACGCCTTTTCCCAGCTTAGGCCATTACAGTTAAATAAGTTATCCTACAAAAACCTAGACCAGGGGTTTCCCAAACTTGGGCCACCAGCTGTTTTTTGGGACTACAAGTCCCATCATCCCTAGCTAGCAGGACCAGTGGTCAGGGATGGTGGGAATTGTAGTCCAAACACACCGTATTTTTTGCTCTATTAGACTCACTTTTTCCCTCCTAAAAAGTAAGGGGAAATGTGTGCGCGTCTTATGGAGCGAATGCAGGCTGCGCAGCTATCCCAGAAGCCAGAACAGCAAGAGGGATTGCTGCTTTCACTGCGCAGCGATCCCTCTTGCAGTTGTGGCTTCTGAGATTCAGAATATTTTTTTCTTCTTGTTTTCCTCCTCCAAAAACTAGGTGCGTCTTGTGGTCTGGTGCGTCTTATAGAGCGAAAAATACGGTAGTTTTGGGAAGCCCTGGCCTAGCCCAAGGGTCAGCAAATTTTTCAGCAGGGGGCTGGTCCACTGTTCCTCAGACCTTGTGGGGGGCCGGGCTAAATTGGGGGGGGGGATGAATGGATTCCTATGCCCCACAAATAACCCAGAGATGCATTTTAAATAAAAGCACACATTCTGCTCATGTAAAAACACGCTGATTCCTGGACTGTCTGTGGGCCAGATTTAGAAGGCGATTGGGCCGGGTCCAGCCCCCCAGGCCTTCGTTTGCCTACCTGTGGCCTAGACTTTCCCCGATTTCATAGAAAAATGTCTGAATACTTCCTTTCCACTTACCAGATTTTCCCGTTACGGTGGTAGCATACTGCAAAGCCCTGATTTGCAAAGCAGGCCTGCATTTCGTAAGACAGGTTGTCCTGTAGAACGATGTATGTGAACTGAAATTCTTTTACGTAGCTAATGAGGATAGCAACATTACCTGATGGGTAACTGATTAATAGCTAAGGAAAAAAAGGGTATTTTCACATTGGCGTTTCCTTTTTAATTTTGCAAATGTTTTTTGCTTTGTTAATATTCTTCACTCAAAGCTTGTTACGTATAAATTACCTACGGGCTTATTAGTAAACACATTTTTCACCTCCAGAGTCTCAGAGGATTGGATCCTTTCAGTGCGATCCCTTGAGTCAAGATGTCAAAATGTTTTTGGTTTACTAAGAGACTTTGTTCCTTCCCGAAAAGATTCTCTCTTTTTTAAAAACATTAAAGATTTTCATTAGATTTTCATAACTTTAAGCAGATAATTTCAATTTGTTACACATTTCTCTTATAATTTTGACTTCCCACCTTCTTTTCCATGCTGTTTTTATACCCATCCCTTTAATATACTGTAAAATATCACAATTTTCACCAAATGCATATCCCACTGTTACAGGGATCAGCAAACATTTTCAGCAGGGGGCCGGTCCACTGTCCCTCATACCTTGCAGGTGGGGGCTATATTTGGGGGTGGGGGGGAAATGGCCCCACAAAGATCCCAATAGATGCATTTTAAATAAAAATAAAAGGACACAGCATGTTTGTGGGTTTGTGGGCAGGCCCCACAAAGATCCCACAGGTGCATTTTAAATCAAAGGACACAGCTTACCTGTGCCTTGTGAGCGGTAGGGGCTGTCGATGGCAGCGGCAGAGGGACGATGAGCGGCGCGAAAGGGCTGGCTCCAGAGAGGAGGCTGCTTAAAATGGCGCTCAGCCCAGCCCAGCCCCCTTCCTTCTCTAGGCACGGCAGGGAGAAGCCAGAAGGAGGGAGGGAGAAGGAGGAGGCTGTGTGTGTGGGGGGGGAATGAATTGGCGCAGGGGGGGAAATGGCGCAGCCCGAACGAACAGAATCCCCCTGCCGATCCATGTGGTGATTCCCAGACCGCCCACGGGCCGGATCCAGAAGGCAACTGGGCCGGATCCGGCCCCCGGGCCTTAGTTTGCCGACCCCTGCTCTATTACACCACAAATTTCATCTAATATACGTATTCCTCTATTTCATATATTATCATTTCTTCCTGTTGCTCAAATTCCAAACCCTGCCTGCAGTTTTATTTGGTTGCTAAATATATTTTTTCAAATAATCCAAAAAGGCTACCTTCTACGATATGCCTGAGTCACTTTCTCGTTCATTGTGATCTCTGTGCAGACGCATGTGCAGAAAATTATGCAGGTGAATCTTCAGAACGTTGTAGACACCCACACATCTGTGGGAGCCGTGAATCCAGTTTCACATTTTAATTGACTGTGTATGCTCACTTCCTCTCTTTGGTCAGTCGTAAACTCTCAGCCTAAGATACCTCACATGGGTGTTGGGAATATACAGAAGGAGCCATAGTGTCCTATAGCCTGCTGGATGCCTTTTTTGTACTATAAACAGCAGCACATCTCCCCATCCCCACCCCACCTTACTGGCAACTTTGTACAGCTCCAAAGGCGTCAACCATTCTTAATCTGGCTTTATGATTGTTACTGTTGGATATTAAACTTGGCCGGTTCCATCTGGGAAAAGTAGATAGAATATCTTCCCATCAGAATAATATCTTTTCACAGGCTTGGTAGAATGGCAAATCTAAGGAAAAAGCAGGAGAAAAGGGAGAAGATAAGAGCATGGTTATTTATCAACTCTGGAAACTCATTGGTAGCCAGTGGAAATAATTCTGGAAATTATTTTGTATCCTCGGACTGTCTCTGGATCAGCTGTAGTTCCTGAACAGTCTTCAAGGGCAGCCCTGTGGACAATGTATTGCAGTAATCTAGCCCGGAGGCCACCAGAGCATAGACAAGTTGAAGTTCAACGCTGAACAAACAAACACGTGTGTAAGTTGCCTGCTTGTGTTATCTAACGAGAAGAGACAAAGTAGGCAGTTGTAGAGAAGAAAAGTGTAGCTGGCTGGATTAGAGCATAGCTGTCAACCATCCCTTATTTGGCGGGAAAGTCCCTTATCCCAGTGCCGTGTCCCGCTGCTGTCCCTTATTGATGATGTCCCTTAAATTTCCCGGGTTTCAAAGGAAGCAGCTCCTCTCCCTCCCTCCCTGCCGGCCAGGGAGGAGGGAGGCTCCAACTGTGTTGCTTGGCTGCGGTGCTCACCCAATAAGGAGTCTAAGAACAACTGTGGGGGTGGAGCTTGCATGCCTTGTGCCAATCAAATCAGCCGCGTTGCCTGGGGACTTGCCTTTGCTCAGCGCTTCCCAGCGGAGAGGTGACGGTGGTTTCCCTTGCTGCATCCCCTTTGCCGGCTGGGCTTTCTTTGCCGGCTGGGCTGCTGGCTGGGCTTTCTGCCTTTGGCTCAGAGGGGCTCAAAAGCTGAACACACCTGCACCCGGAAAATCCCTTATTTTGGCTGCTGATGCCTTATTTTCAAGGCTGCTGGTCCCTTATTTTCAAATCTGTAAGTTGACAGCTATGGATCAGGGTGCTCAGAAGACGGGGTGCTGCTGCTGGGTGTGTGTTATGAATGGATGGATGAAGGGAGGGAGATAAGGATGCGGGGATGAATGAAGAGGAGAGAGGGCAGGGAAAGAAAGAAAGAAGGTACCTCCTTTGCCTGCCTGCCTACTTTGGCCATCGCTGGTAGGAAACCCTAACCACTTCCCCCAGTGACATTCAAGACCTCCTAGGATGCCCATGCCTGTTGTAAAGAACGTGACCACCACACTTAGGAAAAGCATTATGTGTCTGCACTATGATAACACAAGGATGTGTGTGATCTGCAAGGCAGCATGATTGGCTGCTGTGAGGAATGAGGAGGCACCTGGAGCCTCAGCACACTGCCTGCTGAGTCTTGAGTCTCCCTAGGGATGCGGGTGGCGCTGTGGTCTAAACCACTGAGCCTCTTGGGCTTGCTGATCCGAAGGTCAGCAGTTCAAATCCCTGCGACGGAGTAACCTCCTGTTGCTCTGTCCCAGCTCCTGCCAACCTAGCAGTGCAAAAGCACACCAGTGCAAGTAGATAGATAGGTACCGCTGTGGCAGGAAGGTAAACAGCGTTTCCGAGTGCTCTGGTTTCCGTCACGGTGTCGTGTTGCGCCAGAAGTGGTTTAGTCATGCTGGCCACATGACCCGGAAAGCTGTCTGTGGACAAACGCCGGCTCCCTCAACCTGAAAGGGGGATGAGTGCCACAACCCCATATTCACCTTTGACTGGACTTAACCGTCCAGGAGTCCTTTACCTTTTACAAAGATTAGGAATAAGGCAGACCCTGCTCTCAGGTCTACAGTCCGAAAAGCTACAACACAGAAGGAAAAGGGATCGGAAAGGGTGGCAGGGATCCACAAGGGCTTTCCCTCAAGGAGTTTTCTTGAGATAAGTTATACTAAGGGCTGAGAGTCCCATGGACTGCAAGAAGATCAAACCTATCCATTCTTAAGGAAATCAGCCCTGAGTGCTCACTGGAAGGACAGATCGTGAAGCTGAGGCTCCAATACTTTGGCCACCTCATGAGAAGAGAAGACGCCCTGGAAAAGACCCTGATGTGGGGAAAGATGGAGGGCACAAGGAGAAGGGGACGACAGAGGACAAGATGGTTGGCCAGTGTTCGCAAAGCTACCAGCATGAGTTTGACCAAACTGCAGGAGGCAGTGGAAGACAGGAGTGCCTGGCGTGCTCTGGTCCATGGGGTCACAAAGAGTCGGACACGACTAAATGACTAAACAACAACAACATGGGACATAGGGACAGGGGCAAGGAGGCAAGATTGTGATTTCTCATGGTCTGGGGAACGGTAGGTACAGTCCCACACAATCATCTCGCAAACTCATTCATGAACATGTGACATTGGAAATGGCGGGGGGGGGGAGGGCAGCCATCAGTAGGAAGTCCCCATCGAAGTCCATTCCGGCTGCCATTTGGAAAATCAGTGGACAGACACAGCAAACAGCCACATTTTCAAGCAATTTGGGGGAAACCAAACGTTCTCCCAATGCATTTTTACATCCATTTGAAATGACTGACATTTATGTACCGTATGTATTATTTGGCAGGATACCAACCCATCTCAATGCTTTCCTATAGCCACCCCACCCCACCTTGTGGGTATATCTATTTTATTCCGAGCTTATACAAGGGATGGCTACTGAATGCAAGGCAAGGGACAGCAAATCCCAGCCCACTTGCTGAGTAAGTTCTTACTCTAGTAAACGAGCCCCAGAGCTAATTGAGCATCACAAAGGGACTTGGAAGAGGTGTACACGAGAGAGTCCCAATAAATTAGGATAACCACATACCTTTAACTGTTCAGCTTTGAACTCCAAATCTAAAGTCAGTATTTCCCTGGGCTCCGGAGCTTTCTTACGGACTTTTTTGGGTTTGGGTGGATAATCTGATAATTTGAATCTGAGTTTCATACCTGAAACAGTTTTAGGAGGAGAGTGTTCAAACAATTTGGAATTTCAGTATATAACGCTTACTGTATGTATGTATGTATGTATGTATGTATCTGTCTGTCTATCATCTATCTATCTATCTATCATCTATCTATCTATCTATCTATCTATCTATCTATCTATCTACAGTGAGGGGGGAAAGTATTTGATCCCCTGCTAAATTTGCCCGTTTGCCCTCTGACGAAGAAATGATCAGTCCATAATTTTAATGGTAGGTTTATTGTAGCTGTAAGAGGCAGAATAACAACAGGAAAACCATCTACCTCTTGTAGCCCAGTCCAGCCTTGTGCAGGTCTACAATCTTGTCCCTGACATCCTTGGACAGCTCTTTGGTCTTGGTCATGGTGGCCACTTTGGAATCTGCTGGATTGATTACTTCTGTCGACAGGTGTCTTTTGTACAGATACTGTAATGAGCTGGGATTACGGGTAAGACCTCTCCCTTACAGCAGGTGCCTCTAATCTCAGCTCCTTACATACAGCGAAGATACCAGGTAGCCTGACATCTGGCTGTTTGACAGGGGGTCAAATACTTTTTTCACTCATTATAATGCACATCAATCTCTGACTTTTGTCTCCTGGGTCTCTGGGGGTTTTCCTGCTGTTATTCTGTCTCTCACAGCTAAACTAAACCTACCATTAAAATTATGGACTGGTCATTTCTTCGTCAGAGGGCAAACAGGCAAATTTAACAGGGGATCAAATACTTCTGCCCCCCTCACTGTATCTACCTACCTGCAGCCCACACTGTTCCCGCTTGCACCCTCCCTGGTGGGTCTGCTTTGTCCCACTTCTTTAAGGTGTCAGTTTGGGAGTTAATTTCAATAGGGAGAATGTAGCAGGACTTGTTTCACGGATTTTGGGAGAAACTCTTTGGCAGAAGCTTGAGAGGATGGCAGCGGGGCAGGGTGTGGTGGTGAGACTAGACTCCCCGGATTCTGCAACCAACCATAGGCTTCTACTCACATGGCCCAAACTTTATATATTGCTCAAAGACGTCCCTGTACTGATCAATGCCCCCTTTGTCTTCAATCCTAGGAGAGAGAGATGCAGAAAGTAAAAACCCTTAAGATTGCAAAGAATGCCAGGCACAGAGCCAAGGTTTTACACGCTACGTTCACGTGAACATTGTGCATCATCCCTAGCTAGCAGGACCAGTGGTCAGGGATGATGGGAATTGTAGTCCCAAAACATCTGGAGGGCCATGTTTGGCCATGCCTAGACTAGATGACCCTTGGGGTCCCTTCTAACTCTGCAACTCTATGGTTATATGACATTTAGAAAGCAGTTCCATGTGCTGAAAAAGCCAAGATGGAGGGGTAGCACAATAAAAAAATTTAGGAGAAATCTATATATTACTAGGGTTGAACGGTTACATAAGCAACTACCTACTTTGGATTTTTCTCCATAACAAACATGTTCGGAGGGGAACAGATGTCAGGAGACACTATGAGCCTCTTATTTTTGTCTGTCACGGCTGAAGCATGTATTCCGTACACTGGAAGTGCTCAAAATGACAACTTAAGATGGATTCTTCTTGGGAGTGAATAAAAGTCCTGGATTCTTTTTTTTTTTTTTTAAATGGCTATAAATTCTACATTGGAAAGTTGCTTTCCGGTTGTGAGTCTTATTCCATTGTAGATAGGGGCTGCCATACGTCCATTGTAGATAGGGGCTGCCATACGTTCCCGTTGCTCAGTCCCTGCTCCTGCCAACCTAGCAGTTCGAAAGCACGTCAAAGTGCAAGTAGATAAATAGGTACTGCTCTGGCGGGAAGGTAAACAGCGTTTCCGTGCTCTGCTCTGGTTCGCCAAAAGCAGCTTAGTCATGCTGGCCACATGACCCGGAAGCTGTATGCTGGCTCCTAACTGGACCTAACGGTCAGGGGTCCCTTTACCTTTTACCTAGCTGCTTTGAGCCCGGCTCTGGCTGGGGAGGGTGGGGTACAAATAAAATTTATTATTATTATTTATTATTTTTATAGGGTGGGGGACACTGGGGATGAGGTCGTGGAACTGGGGGGAGGGGCCAAAAAAGTTTGGGAACCACTTTTTCTAGACCATAATGAATAACCGACAAGTCCAGAAATCGCTCAGCAAAATGGCGTCCAGGTGCATTTTTGCTGAATCAGCAAAATGTCCAGGGAAACCCGGACGTATGACTAGTAGGGCTATTTTTAAAAAGAAACAAACAAAGGAAAGGCCTAAAACATTTGGGGGGGGCGGGGAAGAGATGTTCAACAGCTCAACAACTTTGTTTGGATTTTCACTATTGGGAATACGGCAACCCGAATGGTAGACTTCCAGATCAAACTCCTCTCAAGACCGTTTTCACAGTCCTGTCATATTTAGCAATCAGAAAATAAAGCGGGAAGTCTCTGGGTAGTTTGAGAACTGAAGAAGTCATCTCCAAAATCACTCACTCTTTTATCAGTGTCCTTTTAGTCTTGTTCTCTAGCCAAGAGCCTTCCGATTGGTGTCGGTGAGGAGTGATATCGATTGTACTTCCTTCGGGGCTGTTTTCTATGAGCTCCTGAACTACACATTGGAAAATGTCCTTGTATGTCCTGCAACACATAAGCTATACAAAACCCAGTAATCTGAAAATCACTTTAATGGAAGCCGCTATCAAGTTTTTCTCATTTACGGGCTATTTTATCCTAGATCCCAAATTTGCTAGTTCTTAGCTTTGTTTGGAGGGACGCAGGTGGCGCTGTGGGTTAAAGCACAGAGCCTAGGACTTGCCGATCAGAAGGTCGGTAGTTCAAATCCCTGCGACGGGGTGAGCTCCTGTTGCTCAGTCCCTGCTCCTGCCAACCTAGCTGTTTGAAAGCATGTCAAAGTGCAAGTAGATAAATAGGTACCGCTCCGGCAGGAAGGTAAACGGCATTTCCGTGCGCTGCTCTGGTTCGCCAGAAGCGGCTGAGTCATGCTGGCCACATGACCTGGAAGCTGTACGCCGGCTCCCTCGGCCAATAAAGCAAGATGAGCACCGCAACCCCAGAGTCGTCCGCGACTGGACCTAATGGTCAGGGGTCCCTGTACCTAGCTTTGTTTGGAGGGACGCGGGTGGCGCTGTGGGTTAAACCACAGAGCCTAGGGCTTGCCAATCAGAAGGTCGCGGTTCGAATCCCCGCGAAGGGGTGAGCTCCCGTTGCTTGATCCCTGCTCCTGCCAACCTAGCAGTTCGAAAGCACGTCAAAGTGCAAGTAGATAAATAGGTACCGCTCCGGCGGGAAGGTAAACAGCGTTTCCGTGCACTGCTGTAATTCGCCATAAGCGGCTTAGTCATGCTGGCCACATGACCTGGAAGCTGTACGCCGGCTTCCTCGGCCAATAAAGCAAGATGAGCGCCGCAACCCCAGAGTTGGTCACGACTGGACCTAATGGTCAGGGGTCCCTTTACCTTAGCTTTGTTTAGTTCTCTTGCGTCACCTCTGGGTTTCCCGTATTTTGCAGGAACAAATTCAAGCACATCCCAAAAATTCAGATTCGCGCGATTAAAGTGCTCTGCCACCTCAGCAGAACAAGTTCTTTAGTGGCCTTTTTTGTGGGTAGAAAAGTGATGGGGAGATGCACTGAAAAGTGTGGGATCAACAAATGATTAACAGGAAAATATACAGGCGCCACACAATTAAATCTGGAGGAGTGCTCAATGTTGAAGAACCTCCCTGGAAACAAATGAGACCAAATGCTCAATAAAGACTGGGCAGAAGAACATTGCTGTTGTCGGGGCCGGCCCACCCCTGAGGCAAGGCCAGGTGGCTGCCTCAGGCGGCAGGATTTGCAGGGGCAGCAGATCTCAGTTCAGATCTTTATTCCCCTCCTTGTTCCTGATGTAGAGCTTCACTCCCCCCTTCTTCCGTGTTAGGGAGAGAAGACACCATTTTGTGGTTTGCCTCAGGTGCCAAAATGGCCTGCTCTGTTTGTTCAGTTAACTGCCTTCCATATCTGCCCCAAGGTAACGTACAGAAGAAAATTTTCTTAATCTAAGTCAGTGATGGCGAACCTTTTAGAGGCCGAGTGCCCAAACTGCAACCCAAAACCCACTTACTTAGCGCAAAGTGCCAACACGATAATTTAACCCGTATATCTCATTTTTTCTGTGTATTTTACATTTCTTCTTTATAACTGCTGTTGTAATAAATAACCCTTCATAAAAGTTATTGCATTACATTCGTCATTAAATTATCTTTACATTGATATACAATTTTATGGTATAACTCAGTGCATTTTTTAAAAACATGTTTAGAGGTACTCTCATTTTGATTCAAGAAATTCACCACAGCAGAGGTGGGAGGTGGGGGGATAAATACAGTTCAAATCGGGGAAAATAAATACATTGGTACCCAAAAGCCAGTGTGGTGTAATAGTTAAGAGCAGTGGACTCGTAATCTGGTGAACCGGGTTCGATTCCCCGCTCTCCACATGCAGCTGCTGGGTGACCTTGGGCTAGTCACACTTCTCTGAAGTCTCTCAGCCTCACTCACCTCACAGAGTGTTTGTTGTGGGGGAGGAAGGGAAAGGAGATTGTTAGCCGCTTTGAGACTCCTTAAGGTAGTGATAAAGCGGGATATCAAATCCAAACTCTTCTTCTTCTTCTCAGTCTTCAAACAGCTTAGTTCTCGAACTACTTGGAACCTGAACACTTCAAACCCGGAAATGAGTGTTCCAGTTTTGGAACATTTTTCGGAAGCTGAACGTGCTCTGTTCTGAGTATAACTTCCCTTTTGAGTGCCACACTTCCGTTTTCCTAGTGAGGGAAGGCTGGGCCGGGGCGGCAAGCGAGCAGGCAAGGGATGTCGCCGCCACCCCTCTCCCAGCCTGCTCCTGCTTGCAGACAAGCAGGAGTGGGATCAGGCTGCTCCGCTAGGCAGCGTTGCTGCTTGCACGGGAACGGGAGCTGGATCGGGGCAGCTCAGCTGGGGAGGCGCAGGCTCTGTCACACTTTCCATTGAGGGGTTCATGGCTGCACTCCCCTCAAGGGAGAAGTTTAAAGGAACCCCCACCTCCTGCAACCCCATGATGGCAGCCAGGCTGAATAGTCGCTGGGGTTGGGGAAGGTGGAGGCAGCCCGGAAGCTGCATCTGAGAGCCCCTGCACCACCTGAAGGCAGCCAGGCACTCCTCAGCTGAGCTGCCTGATCCCGCTCCTACTTGCGTGCATGCAGGAATAGAGGCAGGGATCTCTCAGCCCGAAGCCTCCACTCCACTTCTGAGAGATCCCCGCCTGCAACTCCCGCTTGCACCGAGCCCTCCTCTCCTCCTTCTCTTCACCCGCCCCTGGCACAGAAGCTTCGGCCCTGCTGGGGCGACGGCACGCATGCCCACAGAGAGGGCTCTGAGTGCCCTCTCTGGCACGTGTGCCATAGGTTCGCCACCACTGACCTAGGTCTACACGTGCACATATGGGTAGACAGTCATGCTTGTGGGATATGAAACACAAGAGCAGTCAAGTACAACATTCCTAGAGTGAACATGTTTACACATGGGGAGGAATGTTTGTCCAGCCAGCAGGTAAACTTCCTGTTTCCTTCTGGGCTGGGACAGACTTCCTCTGCATGTGACTAGAGGTGGGCGTGGCTTCACCTGTGCAGGTAATGACAAAAGCACAGGGCAGGGCAGCCATCTCTCTTTTTTTGACTACATGCATCGAAGAAGCAACATCTGCTTAGCCAAAGATGCCCTCTTGGCTCCCGCCAAGAGAGGACAAAGGGACTGTCTTCTTATGAGATAGTTTCCAGGTATATGTTACTTTTCTAAGCTAAGTCTGCCTTCTGGGATCCTATTGTGAACAGAATGATATGTGAGTAAACTCTTTTTATACTTCTATAGAAGACTGTGTCGTGTCTTATCTTTGATGAGGGAATAAGGGGAAAATACCAGAACAGTTATTATAGAGGCTTTAGCGAGCCTGAGCAAACGCATCCACTGCAAGTTTAAAAGGGGGAATGTTACTTTGCTAAATTGTGAACTTGTTAACACAAGTTGGAAAGGCTATTATCAGACAATATATCCTCTCCTGCATCCCTGAACATTCCCACAATGCTCACAGAACAGAGATCTCTGGGCTCGCTTCTACAGAAAGGGCAGAGAAACTGCAAACAAAGGGCAGCTGGGTATGGCCACCCCAATGGGGTTGATCTCAGCCCCACTGGGGTTAGAAGGGAGGGGAGGGGAGGGGAGGAGGCTGACTGGGTCTCTTCCCACTGACATCTGCTTCTCCTTCTCCTCCAAAGGAAACCACCAGGGCACATACTTTTTTTCTGAGAAGGATTCCACTTTCAGAAGTGAAGTTGTTGTTGTTCGTTTTGAAAAGGAGAACAATACTCACACCTTCCATTTTCTCTGGGCTCTCATCCAGGTATTCTGCTGTTGGTAAAGGCTTCAGTGCTGTGGTGCAAAACTCACAGCAACCGAGAAGGCAAAGATCGGTTTCAGAATGATCCTGAAAAAGAGGTGGAGGGGTAAGCAAATGGCTTCTCAAACTAAACTAGTTATACACTTTCCAGTACTGGAAAGGGAATCAGTTACCCACTAGGGGAGAGTGGCTATGTAAGCTCTCAGAATACTTAGAATTAGCCAAATTGACAGACATAATAAGACAAAAACCAAAAAGTGAAGTAAAAAAAGAATGGGAGTGCCTAAATGAATACCTCAAAAGTCAAGGTTCGAGGGCAGAAATCTGGCTGAGTCTGGAAGAACCTTGTGAAGTGAAAGGATATGAAAGAAGGATTTATATCTAGATGTTAGGATAGAGATGATAAAGAAAACAGGAAAACAGGAAGACGCAATGAGAGTTAAAGGAGGTGCTGTGGGATTGGTGGAAGTCAATGTCTTGTTTTAGTGTTTATAATATTAACTTGTGAGATATGGATATGTTTGTTGTTGTTGTTGCTTTCTTTAGTTTTCGAATGTTTATTTTTGTGTGTTGTGTATTGTTATTTTTTGATATCTTTCGTGTTGTTGTTGTGTGGAAAATACTAATAAAATTTATTAATAATTTAAATTTATTTTTTTTTAAAAAACCTAGCTATACACAGGAAAACATATATATCAGGGGTGCGCAAACTTATTTCAAAGAGGGCCAGATTTGATGAAGTGAACGTGTGTGAGGGGATGTTGAGCTTTTTTTAGGATTGAAGTTGTTGAGCTCTTTTTTCAGGATTTTACCAGGAAATGAACCGCCCCGCCCCCCCGCCAAGTTGTTGAGCTTGACCTTTTTTACAATTTCAACCCAAAGTTGTTGAGGGTTGAAGTTTTACCCCAGGAAATAAACTGCCAAAGGGGCAGGATTATACCGACACAAGGCGGTCTTTGGATATGCCTGATGTGTATGAATGTGGTTTGGGCTCAGAGTCAAATCACTTTTCCATGAGGAGGCCTCTTCTGTTATTCCAGACCAGGACAAATGAACAGCTCATCCAATACAACGGGATTGACTTTGGCTCCCTGAAAACATTTGCTTTCATTTAAACAAATATTTAGAACTGTGGGGAAACAGTTTTAAAATGAGCGGACAACTACTGTGGATGGGTGGGAATTCATATCTGCAGGAGAGTGGCTGTGCCAGTTAGGTGCGAACTATTGGTCCTAAAGAGGGCTTGTGTAACATAGCTGTCAACTGTCCCTTATTTGGCAGGAAAGTCCCATATCCCAGCGCTGTGTCCCGCTGCTGTCGCTTATTGATGATGTCCCTTAAATTTCCCGGGTTTCAAAGGAAGCAGCTCCTCTCCCTGCCGGCCAGGGAGGAGGGAGGCTTCAACTGTGTTGCTTGGCTGCATTGCTCACCCAATAAGGTGTCTAAGAATGACTGGGGGTGGAGCTTGCATGCCTTGTGCCGATCAAATCAGCCGCGTTGCCTGGGGACTCGCCTTTGCTCAGCGCTTCCCAGCGGAGAGGTGACGGTGGTTTCCCTTGCTGCATCCCCTTTGCCGGGTTGCTGCGCTGTGGGGACCACCGCTTGAGGCTTCGTTTGGCTGCTGGCTGGGCTTTCTGCCTTTGGCTCGGAGGGGCTCAGAAGTTGAACATACCTGTGCCCAAAAAAACCCTTATTTTGGCTGCTGATCCCTTATTTTCGAGGCTGCTGGCCCCTTATTTTCAAATCTGTAAGTTGACAGCTATGTTGTGTAATCCTTGGTTCTTGCGACCCTCTCTCTAAAATATTGCCTCCAGTAGTCAAAATCTATATTCCCAGGGCTTTTTTTTCAGGGAAAAATCACAGAAACTCAGTTCCAGCACCTCTTAGGTGAGCGCCATTGCCATTCTAAGAGAACGAGGGAGGTGTTCATGGTGAGTTCTGGCACCTCTTTTTTTCCTAGAAAAATAGCACTATACATTCCCCACAGGTAGATCGTTATATGTGACCTTAGATGTCGATTGTACAAAAGAAACCCCTACAAAGAGATGAACTACAATACTTTTGGTCCCAACTATACGTGATCTCACCTCAATATCTGACTCGTGACCTTCAGAACTCTCTTTGAAGTTTCCAAGCAAACGTATCGGAAATATTTTAGAAGGGGGTAAATATAGAAAGATGGAAAACAAAGTTAATCCTTGGCAAAAAGCTTTTGTTAGGTTTGCTTCTTTGTTCAAAATGCAAGGTGCTTGGTGCAAACCAAGCCAAATCATAAGCATGGGACATAGAGGAGCTCTTTTCAGATATATAGAAGACCAAACTTGTTTCTCTTTTTAGGCTTCAGAGAGTGGTGATGAAGTACAGTCATACCTTGAAAATCGAACGGAATCCATTCCAGAAGTCCGTTCAACTTCCACAACATTCGGAAACCAACTTGCGGCTTCTGATTGGCTGCAGAAAGCTCCTGCAGCCAATCGGAAACCATGGAAGCCCCATTGGACGTTCGGCTTCCAAAAATAGTTCGCAAACCAGAACAGTCACTTCCGGTTTTGCAGTGTGCAGGAGCCAAAACATTCTGAGAACTAAGCTGTTCAAAAACCAAGGTACGGCTCTATACATATTTCACCAAATGTTCCTAAAATCTTAATTGACCTGCTCTTTCTTATTGGGTATCGGAATTCTCATTTTGCTGCTACCGTAAGCAATCTTAAACAAGAACACCTTCTATAGTAAAGGTAAAAGGACCCCTGATCATTAGATCCGGTCGTGGCCGACTCTGGGGTTGCGGCACTCATCTCGCTTTATTGGCCGAGGGAGCTGGCATACAGCTTCTGGGTCATGTGGCCAGCATGACTAAACCGCTTCTGGCGAACCAGAGCAGTGCACGGAAACGCCATTTACCTTCCCACTGGAGCGGTACCTATTTATCTACTTGTACTTTGAGGTGCTTTCGAACTGCTAGGTTGGCAGGAGCAGGGACTGAGCAATGGGAGCTCACCCTGTCGCGGGGATTCGAACCGCCGACCTTCTGATCGGCAAGTCCTAGGCTCTGTGGTTTAACTCACAGCGCCACCCGCATCCCTAACACCTTCTATAAAAGGTAAAGGTACCCCTGCCCGTACGGGCCAGTCTTGACAGACTCTAGGGTTGTGCGCCCATCTCACTCAAGAGGCCGGGGGCCAGCGCTGTCCGGAGACACTTCCGGGTCACGTGGCCAGCGTGACATCGCTGCTCTGGCGAGCCAGAGCCGCACACGGAAACGCCGTTTACCTTCCCGCAAGTAAGCGGTCCCTATTTATCTACTTGCACCCGGGAGTGCTTTCGAACTGCTAGGTTGGCAGGCGCTGGGACCGAACAACGGGAGCGCACCCCACCGCGGGGATTCGAACCGCCGACCTTTCGATCGGCAAGCCCTAGGCGCTGAGGCTTTTACCCACAGCGCCACCCGCGTCCTTAACACCTTCTATACCTCTGTGCAAATATGTGGGAAATTGCCTTGCTCTAAACCAGTTGCCTCAGGTCTCTTGGGCTACATTTGGCTACTGTGTGAGTTATTTGGATCCCTGGAAGGGTGGTCTCAGCTTACAGTTCAGGGTCTTGGGTTTGACAGTGAACCCCTTAACCTTTTCGAACATCAGCTGGGGAAGACTGGAAGGGATAAACCATCATAATTTACAGGAAGATTTCTGTGTGTGCACTGTGATAGGAATTCTGAGGTCTAAGGTATATGGTAATGTTCATAAGTGTACCAACCAAGCACGTACATAGATCAGCACAGGAAGACCGACCTGAAACCATTTTGATTTCTAAACTGAGCAAATGTTTTCTCTGCAAGGTCAAACTGGGAAACCTCCCCATTGTCTCTTTCCTCACAAATCCTGTCTTAAGGGCACATTTAAGATATGAATAGGGTGTGAGCCTGTGACATGGCCCAGGAACTAAGTATTTATCATTACAAAAGACTGGCCAGGCTACCTAGGCAATCCAATCAAGTAACCTGCCAGACAGGAGATAAGAACAACGACATTCAAATTTCTGTTTTAAGACCGCCTTTTCTGTGATGTAGGTATGATGTATCTGGGGGTGGTCTTGATCTACAGGGTGGCAATTTCAAAAGTCCATATAAGGCCTTGCGCGCCATTGTTCTGGGTTCCTCCTCCCTCCTTCGTGTGGTGAGTGAGGACCCTGTTGCAACGGATCAATAAAGATCAGGCTTACTAGCTGCTTTGCTTCTCAATATTCTCTGGTTGGCCTCTGTTATCTTCTCCTACCAATAGGGGAACCTATGAAAGGACTCTATATGAGCTCTTGGATACCCCATAAGGGAAAAGGGCAATTTTTGTTTACAACAGCACACAGTATAACTCAGAGCACTAACCAGCCCCAAACATTTATTCTGTATTATTACTGGTCTTTCACAAATCTGCCCACGGGAGGAGCAAAGAGAAATAGGATTGCGGCAACGGAAGCCACCTGTTAGTTAAGAGAAGAAAAAGCACAAGCTGGCATCTTGAGGATTACTATGCCGTGTGGGTGCTGCAAAAATGGAAACTAAACTTCAAAGCTTAAACGGCATCCAGCCCATAATAAACTGTCATGTTGAAGGTCCCACCAGCAACATGGCTGTCTACTCCGGCACACATTAGTTTGCAGAAATCTTTCTCATTCTTGCTACCTGATGTCCATTTGTAACAGAACTCAGAACTTTCAGAACCTTCCCTGTGAAGGTGGTAAGGTGGTAAAGGGGCCCCTGACCATTAGGTCCAGTCGTGGCCGACTCTGGGGTTGCGGCGCTCATCTCGCTTTATTGGCCAAGGGAGCCGGTGTACAGCTTCCGGGTCATGTGGCCAGCATGACTAAGCCACTTCTGGTGAAACCAGAGCAGCGCACGGAAACGCCGTTTACCTTCCCGCCGGAGGTATTTATCTACTTGCACTTTGACGTGCTTTCGAACTGCTAGGTTGGCAGGAGCAGGGACCAAGCAACGGGAGCTCACCCCGCCGCAGGGATTCAAACCACTGACCTTCTGATTGGCAAGTCATAGGCTCCGTGGTTTAACCCACAGCGCCACCCGCGTCCCATGTGTGAAGGTGGTAGTTGAATGGAATACGATACCTTACAACCTTATTTCTGTATCAAATAGCTCAACCTCTGGCTGATATGATGCCTTAAAACCTTATCAGTGTGACAAGGCGTACCTTCACTGACCACTTCAGCGACATCTTTTTTTTCCAATATGCTGCGAGCTATTAGCTCTGTGGAACAAACACACAAACAAAGATTTTTGTGGCCTTCTGAAACTGAACCTCAAGCTACTTAAATGAAAAAAAATCCGTCAACAATTTGCCTCCTGCCTCCCAGTGTGGTGTAGTGGTTAAGAGCGGTAGTCTGCTAATCTGGGGAACCGGGTTCGCGTCTCCACTCCTCCACTTGCAGCTGCTGGGTGACCTTGGGCCAGTCACACTTCTGTGAAGTCTCTCAGCCCCACTCACCTCACAGAGTGTTTGTTGTGGGGGAGGAAGGGAAAGGAGAATGTTAGCCGCTTTGAGACTCCTTAAAGGGAGTGAAAGGCGGGATATCAAATCCAAACTCTTCTTCTTCTTCTTCTTCTCCCCCCGTCCCCCCCGCAAACTGATAGGTTGATTGCAAGCAGGAGCAAGAGTCAACACTCATTGACATCTCTACCTTAACTAACACTTGATATCTTGTAGATGAATGTGTAAAACTGACTCCATTGAAGAGCATTGTGTTTGAGGTGACATGAAGCTCTGCAGACGTTCTCTCTTTGGTTGATCTGTGGTAGTTTATCCACGCACACAAAACACTGACACCAGTTATCAGGTGGCTAACATGTGAACAAGTTCTAGCAGAATGCATTCAGTTGGGTCAATATGTCGCTCCAGAGTTTCCCTGAAAGATCTACCGTATTTTTCGCTCTATAGGACTCACCTTTTCCCCTCCAAAAATGAAGGGGAAATGTGTGTGCGTCCTATGGAGCGAATGCAGGCTCCTTGGCTTCAGCGATAGCAACGTGAAGCCTCCGAAGCACAGAGGGAGCGCTCCCCCCGCGCTCCGGAGGCTTTGCGTTGCTTTTGCTGAAGCCTGGAGAGCGAGAGGGGTCAGTGCGCACCGGCCCCTCTCGCTCTCCAGGCTTCAGGGATAGCCGCCTGAAGCCTTTGGAGCACAGCGGGAACTTGCGCTGTGCTCGAAGGCTTCGGGTTCCTTTTGCTGAAGCCGGGAGAGCAAGACTCTCCTGGCTTCAGCAGAGAGGGAGAGCTGCGCAGCGCCCCTTCAGCCAAGCAGGAGGAGAAATGAAAGGGGCTCCGTTTCTCCTGCCGCTTCGCTGAAGGGGCGCTGAGCAGAGAGGGGGAGATTTTTTTTCTTGTTCTCCCCCTCTAAAACAAGGTGCGTCCTATGGTCGGGTGCGTCCTATAGAGCGAAAAATACGGTAAACGCATTACCGTTCATTGTTCACCCTTCAATTGCTTCTACGGATCAGATAAGAAAACATCATAAGGTCGTCTAGCGAAGATACCATGGACACTTGAACCCCAATAATGTTAAGTACATCTTGCTGTTGCTAAAACTCACCCTCGCTTTCTCCAACCAAAGGTCTCTCCTTGACAATCCTGCTTGCCTGCTCCGCCTTCCTTCTCCCTGTGTGAGAAATACTGGTATATATCGCAACGCTGAGACAAGCAACATACAAACCCAACACATAACCAACGCAATAAAATACTGTATTCAACACGGAACGAAGGCAGCTGCTGAATACACTAACCGCACCACCAGGACTTTAAAAATACATATGATGTGTCAAAAGTCAAAGCTTCGGCGTTTGCTGGAAGCGGTGTAATCGCAGTGGCAGGCAAACCTCCATGAAAAAGAATCCCACAAATCCGCTCCACTTCCCAGTGGGGAGGAATTGCGGTGGACCGCGTGGCCACCCACTCTCCACCGGCGGCGGGGGACTTTGTCCCCTGTTGCCCAGGGGTCACATCAGAGCCTGGCCAGCCAATCCGCTTGCCGGGGAGGGGGGCGTGCTGGGACTGTTTAAACCAAGGAGCGAGCTGGAGGGCTTCCTCTTTGGCTCGCTTCCTCAATCACCCGCCCTCCCTCCCTATTTTGCAATTTTTAGGCACTGGCCTTGCTATGGACCTCGGTTGGTCGCCTTGGTTGTCCAAGGGGTCTGGTAGGAATTTTCCCCACTTGGCAAATTGGCACTGGCCACTTGGTTTTCGCCTACCTCGTAGCAATCGTCACAACTTTGTTAGTGTTGCGGTTAGGCATTGTTAGGCATTGTTGACCTTGTGTGGGGGAGGGGAGGTGTAGCCATCACCTGCCCCTCCATGCTTAAGGGTATTCTGTTAAAGGAATCTGGGGGTGTTGATCTTGTCCGAAGCCCGGTTGGGGGCTAGGGCCTTGACACGACCCCGATGGGAACACCAGGGGGAGCTTGAGTTTGTACGCATCGACAGGGCTCCCCCTACCAGTGGTTTACCCTTACCGGACTTCCTGCGCAGCGGGCAGGAGTCAGATATAGTCGGGTCCAATCAATGCCTAAGCCAATACCGCTCACATTCCGTAATTCAATAAAGTTGTGGCCCAATTTGCCCAATAACATAAACCTAATATCCGTGTCCTTGTGTGAGTTATTTCCCAACGAGGGGGTGGCTGCGGGGTCTCGACACGCAACTTAAAGGCTGCTATAAAGGTAAAGGGACCCCTGACCATTAGGTCCAGTCGTGGGCAACTCTGGGGTTGCGGCGCTCATCTCGCTTTATTGGCCGAGGGAGCCGGCGTACAGCTTCTGGGTCATGTGGCCAGCATGATTAAGCTGCTTCTGGTGAACCAGAGCAGCGCATGGAAACGCCGTTTACCTTCCCGCTGGAGCGGTACCTATTTATCTACTTGCACTTTGAGGTGCTTTCAAACTGCTAGGTTGTCAGGAGCTGGGACCGAGCAACGGGAGCTCACCCCGTCACGGGGATTCGAACCGCCGACCTTCTGATCAGCAAGTCCTAGGCTCTGTGGTTTAACCCACAGCGCCACCCGTGTCCCTATAAAGGCTGCTATAGAAGATGCTTTTTGAGGGTGGTGGAACAACCAAGAGGGCAACTTCTGCTGATCTTAACACCCAAGAAGGTCTGTAGGGAAAGAGGCAACCTGGGGCAAGTAAGAAATACATACCGACACAGAAGAGCACAGCATTCCAAAGCAATACAAAATTAGTGAAAACTGAATTTTAGACTTTGAAAGTGTACAAATTCATTTTCCCTCTCCTCATCAAGGGTTACACATGATCTCTTAATTTTGTAGTAGTTTAAAGGAATCTAGCTGATAAAAGAAATAGCATTTGAAAGATAAAACCACAGCATTTTCAATGCAATCAAATTTTGCCAAGTCAGCCCAAAGCTGGTTTTCAATGTGTAGATATGCCTGTGTCATTGTTTAGAACACACTCTCTGAAAAACAAAACTGTTTAAGGCCAGCACAGTATTCTTATTATCATACTTTTTTCTTCTGAACTCATGTCTGAGTAACTCCATTCTGTCTGAGTTTCCACATCTGTAACACCACATCTTCTGCAATGGGAAAAGAAAGGTTCAGTAAGAGAATTCCTGTTTTAACAAAGATACCCCATATATACTTTGATGTTATGTTGAGGGCAGGGGGAAAGAATTCTGAGCTACGTAATCCAAAGTTCTGTGCTCCAAACACACACACACACACACACACACACACACACACACACAGAGTTTATGGTTGTAAATTTATATTGTAAACTGCTTTGAGGTGTGGCTGGTTTTTTTTTTTACAGTCAAGCAGTATATAAATTTCCTAAATTTCATAAATAAAATAAAACAGCATGGCAATGCTGAGTTTAGTTAACATCTGCAGTAGAGAAGGAGACCACTGTTTCTATTTGGACAGAAGGGAATTTTTCTCAATTCCCTGACGAATTGTAATTCTGCCATTTCGCACTGGAGTTTCCCTTTTAAATTCCTTTGCCCCAAAGTAGCTACCAGAAGATTAGCTGCAGAGTCCCCTGGTAGACTGAAATGCTCTCCTACGGATTTATGAATATTGCTATTTCTGATGTCAGATTTGTTTCCATTGGTCGCTTTTCATAGATACTGCACGGTTTGTCCTGTGCAGAATGTGGAACATGCAATGAAAAAAGAACATTATCAGGCCCTGCAATAGCGTTGCCAGAGTGTATTTATGGTTTTCCTTGGAACTAGTTTTTGCCTCTTCCCTCCCCTCCCCTGCCCTCAACAGGGGATCATTTGCCAATTAGGAGTGATGCACAGGTGTCAATTTTCAGATGGAAGAGGGCCTGTTCTGGTGTCTTTTAGGATTCAGAATCAGAAACAAGTTAGCAGGGTTCTGAGTTAAACCATATCTTAAACTACTGATTTAATAGGCTGGCTGGACCCAGAACCATTATTGGTGTTAATGAAATGTAGAGTAGAATGTACCAGATGGGTGGGGTATAAATAATAAATTATTATTATTATAAATTATTATAATGTTACTAACATTGTTGGCAATTCTGCTTTCATTGATGTTTGAGACTCAAGAACTGAAGATGATGGAGATCTCGTCTGGGTATCTGAAAGGAAGAGAGAAAGGGACTTCTTTTAAAATCAACGAAATAAAACAGGGGTAAAAGTTGTCTCCGTTTCATTAGCTCAGCCTTCCCCAGAGGGGGAAAAAAAGGATGTAAAATAAAGGCTTCTTTTCTCTCCTGGGGAGGGGAGAAGTGCTATGAAGGTGAAGGAATGGGTTTCCCGAACCCAAAACTGACTGTGCAGGCAGATTGAAACTGTTCCAAAATCCCTATTTTTCCTTAGCTAAAATGCTTTAACTTGAGCTCTTGAGCCAAATCCCAGCTGAATAAACAAGTGCTCAGAGCCCTCTACTTTATCAGTTTGTGACGGCAAGGATGGCCTTGACTGTACCAGTAGAACAGGGAAGTCATGTCTGTGCCTTATCTTATGTCCTGACCACAAAGACGCACAGACCTAGTATGGGAACAGCGCCAGAGTGTGTTCTTGGAGTTGATGACCTCTTGCTCCAAGAGCAAGCATAGGAAACAGGAACAACCTTTTATGGTCAGAAGTACAGGAAGTAATACCCTTTTATGGTTAAGAATACCGGAGCAGGAACATCTGTGTCAACCTGCATGCACAAGCTGACGTGGCTGGATTGCTGGGGAAGGGGGAGAGGGTGACTGGAGGATATATATACTGCATGTAATCTCTCATTTCTTTGGACTTGATGTGGACTGACCACACAAGTGCCTTTCTGCTGTTCCGGAGAGCAGAAATAAAGAATTCTTTCTCTGAACCAACCCTCGGTGTCATTTGACTTCCTTCCTCCTGTCCGGGAGCAACGCAGACCCAATAGGTGAACTCCAATAAGGCTACAAAGGGAGATTCCCAAAGCTCTGAGCATAGAACTAGCAACCCACCTTGTACTGTAGGTCACCAGCAACAGCCGTTGAGCTGGTGGCAATTGGGAACCAACACAAGGGATTTGGGCAGCTGGTTGGAACCAGTGGCGTAGCGTATGTTGTCAGCACCCGGGGCAAGGCAAGTAATTTGCGCCCCCTAGAGTGAGTGAGCCAGGTAGGGGCAGAGAGCTGCAAGTGCAAGCGCACCCCCCCAGATGTTGCGCCCGGTGCGGCTGGCCCCCCCTGCACCCCCCACGCTACGCCACTGGTTGGAATAACTCGCCTGTCACTCACATGACATCATAATGCCATCACGTTATTTTCAGGTACGGCGAACCTGCTCACGTGTCAAATTTTACCTGCATGGCTGATCCAGATGAGAATCTGACCCATGGAGCCAAAAATGTTTCCCATCCCTGGGCTAGTGGGACTGGTCACATTGACTACAGATTTGACTCAGCAAAACATCTACCCAGGATATTATAAATAATAATAATAATAAATAACAATAAATAACAGAGACTCGAGCAGCTTCAAATCCACATTAAACTCCCAGGTGGATGAACCCAGTGCCATTGCCCCGATCCTATTCAGCTCCTGGTTCCCCAGCTGCTTTTGAGACTTTTAAAAAATAAAATAAAATACTAGATTAAATTGTAGACTTCCCATATCTCATGTAGTTGAGCAAATCTCTATTTTGCTGGCTGGCAGTAATGTATTTATTACTTCACTGGTTGCAACATTTGCCTTGGCTGCAAGTAAGTTGAGAGCTAGGCACCAAGACAAGTTTCATAAGGAGGAGTGTGAGATGTTGAGTGCTTGACTTATGCAGGTGTGATTTTTGCATTTTTGTATGTTCGCTTTGCTGTTGTTGTTCAGTTTTAAATCAATTATTTGTATTTTATGCATTGTGACCAGAAAGCCTCAAATAATCACCAGGGAATAATATACAGGTACCTTTTTTTGAGGACTGTTCAGTGTTTTCTGAGACATCTTCGCGTGCGTCCTCTGCATGGATGAGAACAGAAGCTGCCTTTGGTTCTTTTTCATCGGACAGACTTTGCTCCTTGCTTCGACTTGTTACTAGCTTCGCTCTTATTCAGAAAGAGATTGCTCTGGGTAATGTAGGCTTCTATTGACTCTCTAGCAAGGGCAGATTTAGAAGCAGAATTCTTCTCTTGCAGTTTCTTAACGTTTTCTTCAGTGAGAAGCAGGCTGGAGGAGTCGGGATCCGCTGGCTGGGATGTAGAAAGTGAAGAGGTTCTTTTTGATTCCAAACGGTCTTTACTACCAGGCCCAGGAAGCTTCTGTCCGCTTGACATATTGTCAAAACAAAAAAGGAGACTGGGCTCTGAAAGCAATAAAGGAAACAAAGGGACAATTAAATAATAAATACAGTGGTACCTCAGGTTACATATGCTTCATGTTACATACTTCGCTAACCCAGAAATAGTGCTTCAGGTTAAGAACTTTGCTTCAGGTTGAGAACAGAAATTGTGCTCCGGCGGCGCGGCAGCAGCAGGAGGCCCCACTAGCTCAAGTGGTGCTTCAGGTTAAGAACAGTTTCAGGTTAAGAACGGACCTCCGGAACGAATTAAGTACTTAACCCGAGGTACCACTGTATTAATATTATTTACCTGTCCTTCACCCTGAGCTCCTGGGGCAGGTTACAACTACAGTGGTACCTCGGGTTAAGTACTTAATTCATTCAGGAGGTCCGTTCTTAACCTGAAAGGATGCCCTATTAGCTAAAGTGGTGCTTCAGGTTAAGAACAGTTTCAGGTTAAGAACGGACCTCCGGAACGAATTAAGTACTTAACCTGAGGTACCACTGTTTCGAGATTACTCTTAATCTCCTGGTTTCCCCCCCCCCATCCCTTCCTTGGGTCCTTTTGATTCTATTTTCAACTGCATATCAATACTTCTCCTATTTTTCATCTTCCTGAGTTAACTATACATTCTGTTACATTACAAGTGTATTTAAAATCCTGCTAATGTTTTGACCTGTTTACAGTGATTATAAACATTTCCCATACTTTTTTAAATTTCTTGTCTTTTTGATTCCTGAGCTTCCCAGTTAATTTTCGCCATTTCGGCATAGTCCATCAACTTGATTTGTCATTAATGGTTTGTTTTTCTCTTACCACTTGTGGTTTGGAATTTCTGTAGCAGCAGACTTAATGGTACAAAAACATTCTCCAGTCACTATCCACTGAGATCGTTGCACTGGATCTATGCTATAAAGAAAAGTTACAGAAGTTTTTTTTGGCTGTTGTTAATAAATAAAATATATCTTTCTTACACTTGTCATGTGTGTGTGTGTGTGTGTGAGTGAGTGAGTGAGAGACAGACAGACAGAAATTCCCAGAAAGTAGGATAGTTATTTTGAATTTGTGCGGTCCAAGGGCTTGGGATTGCAAAGAAAGCAATTGGCTTCGGGCACAGAAATTGTTTAGCACTCTGTTGTGGATTTTTTATTTTATTTTTAAGCTTCTCAGTCAATTAAACAAGAAAAGAAATTGTATTTGAAAACCATCAATGGGGCTGGCTATGCTTGTAGGATTACAATAAGTTTTGTAAGGAGAACTATATGAAATATTACAGAAAAAATCTAAGAGAGTGGATCTTAAGGACTATTAAAAGTAATAGTTAAGATAATGAAATGCAAGACTAAGAGATGAAGATAGAAAATCACTAGACGTGGTTGATGGAAGTATTAGGCATATAGCCAAAATGTTGTATATGATAAGAGGAGATGTTATGTTCTGGTTGGAAAATATTTGTAAAAGCTAATAAAAATATATTTAAAAAGAAAACCCTCAATGGGGAGAGTAAATTCCAGGGAAATCGTGATCGAAGTGCAGGACTTCTGTTGCATTTACCTTACTCTTGAGGAGGCTTAGTGCCCTTTCATTCATTCTACATATCATCTCACCAGAAGTATGATCTTTGCAGTCTTCCCCAGGCACCTGCACGTCAATTAAAGCCCAGAAGAAGACATCATGAGGCAATTTCTCCCCTGGGACTTTTCTGGATCAGGAAGTGTTGTCAGCCAGGGACGCTTCAGAGTACTGGATAAACGTCCCATGGAAAGTAAAACACACGCCAACCTTGGCTACCTTGCAACAATAAGGTAAGGTCGAAACTAGAGCTGGGCGCTATATTGACATATTGTCCAAAACCGGTTTGAAGTCCATATCGTGATATCGGTTTCATACTTTTTGACCTGGCAATATATCGTGAATCGTGTGTGTGCTATGGAAAAATCACAATGTGGGGAAAACATTGTCAGTCAGCCAATGCCTCTATATAGCTCCGTCCTTATTTCAGATGTTGTGATATATCAGTATATTGCGATGTTTAAAGGGTAAAGGTCAAGGGACCCCTGACCATTAGGTCCAGTCGCGGCCGACTCTGGGGTTGCAGCGCTCATCTCGCTTTACTGGCCGAGGGAGCCGGTGTACAGCTTCCGGGTCATGTGGCCAGCATGACTAAGCCGTTTCTGGCGAAACCAGAGCAGCGCACGGAAACGCTGTTTACTTTCCCGCTGGAGTGGTACCTATTTATCTACTTGCACTTTGAGGTGCTTTCGAACTGCTAGGTTGGCAGGAGCTGGGACTGAGCAACGGGAGCTCACCCCGTCGCGGGGATTCGAACCGCCAACATGCTGATCGGCGAGTCCTAGGCTCTGTGGTTTAACCCACAGCACCACCCGCGTCCCCTATTGCGATGTTTAGCTGATGATATATGACAATGTTGAAAGCCAGATATTGCCCAGCCCTGATCAAAATCCTACACTGATCAAAATGCTAAAGAAATTTTCAAATTCCTCAAGAGCAAGGCAATAAAATGGAAACCTCTTTTGCAGAGGAAGATTTTGGTAAAGCACTAATAATAATAATAATAATAATAATAATACTGTATTGGACCGAATATAAGCCCCCCCCCAATTCTGACCGTGAAAAGTTAAAGTGTGGATTACATTCGCATCCTTACAAAAATGGGCTTTTATGATAACGCTGCTGAAACAGACAATTACATACAGTAAAACAGAAGAAAAAAAAGTTTTATTGCTGAATTGCAAGCTTGAGGCTGTTATGCAATAAATTCTAATGTCATTCATCGCTTCCCCTGTATTTTACAGTGCAGTATTGATTTTTTTTATTTGCATTTACACTGCTATGAACAGGTGTTTAACCCACTTGCGGGTCCTCTCATAGTACCTGTAGGATTTTCTTCCACATTTGCCATGTGGCCTGTGGAATTGTAGCAATTGAATAGCAATTTGTGATTTTAGAGATTGTATGGTAACTTTTGCGGGCTTGTGAGATCAAAGGCTTAAATTGGCTAGGAGTTACAATTCTACCAACTGCAGCAATTTTCAGCCTGTAACCCAATTTTAAGTCTTATATCCGGGTATTTTTCTCCCCCACCCTTGAATTCTAAAGGTGTGGCTTATTTGTGGGTGTGGCTTATATTCGGGCCAATATGGTGATGATGATGATGATGATGATGATAATAATAATAATTTTGTTATTGTTCTTTATTATTTAATGTACTACTTTAACTTAAGGTCCCAGGGTGGGTTACAACATTAGAACACAATGTCACAACACAATATTAAAAGCAGTTTGAAACAACTTACAGCTGTCCCATTGATCCTGCACCCCTCCGCTGAGGAAGTCACAGGGAAGTTCATGAAGGGCTATTCCATTCTCAGAATTCTGTTGGGGTGGTTTAGGGAGAGAAAGACAGAGTTGCTGGGTGAAAGTTTGAAGGTCTTTTGAACTAAGGCTAAGGCACACCTGCACTCACACGGGGAATGGCAGTGGCTGGACCTGTGAGAACCATTTAAAATATACAAGGGGAGCAGACGGTTTTGAAAGGCACCATTGGTGCACATTTTAATAATTATCCACTCAATCAACAAAACAACATGGTAAAGTCGGTCATTATAATTCCTATTTACGATGGGGAAACTGGAGTGAGGCAGTAATGTGTTACTTCAGGTCACCTGTTATGTACTGAAGTTCTCACCCTGGGCCAGCAGGGGGATACTGTAGATAGTTATGCAGATAAGGGATCGAAAGTGACGCTCAGTGATTGGATAGTTTTAGAAAATTGTTACAGTTACGTTGTACTGGAGCTCTATATAAGCAGGCTGACTGAACCCTTCAGTTCAGTTCTGTTCTGGCCTCTGAATAAACAAGAGCTGTTTGAAGAATCGCTGTGTCGTCTGATATGTTCACCCACAACTTAACATCACCAATGACCACAACAGGGGTATCATCCCAGGTCCGATAAACGCTCTGATGTGCTGCAATGAAGTTATTGTTGAGAAACCCTTGACTCTGAATCCGACTTGAATGAAAACCGATTTACAAAATACTTTACCTCCCTCCTTCAGCACTTGCTTGGTTTCTAGATGTGCTTAGATGCTGCTTCAGTGTCACAATGGATCTGACACGCCCCCCCCTTTTGTTGCATGGACCTGTGAACAGTTTGTTCCTGTAGCAGCAAGCAGCACTGGAAACCAGTTTGAAGGAAGGAAAGGTGGCGGCGACTCTCCCTTCGTGGTCCATGCTACATGTTCGGTATCTGAAAGTGTAAGGAGGGCCACTTTCAGGAGAGAGTAAGTAAGTACAGCCAAATTTAGCCACACACTTCAGCCACTGCCCTCTAGACTTCTGTCTCAGCAGAGGTCCTTCACAGATCTGCAGAGACTTTTTTCCCTGGAGAGCTAAACTGTCTGTCCTCTTACCTAATCTCATAGATACAGCACAAGTACAGTAACCTGAGGGACGCGGGTGGCGCTGTGGGTAAAAGCCTCAGCGCCTAGGGCTTGCCGATCGAAAGGTCGGCGGTTCGAATCCCCGCGGCGGGGTGCGCTCCCGTCGCTCGGTCCCAGCGCTTGCCAACCTAGCAGTTCGAAAGCACTCCCGGGTGCAAGTAGATAAATAGGGACTGCTTACTGGCGGGAAGGTAAACGGCGTTCCGTGTGCTGCGCTGGCTCGCCAGATGCAGCTTTGTCACGCTGGCCACGTGACCCGGAAGTGTCTCTGGACAGCGCTGGCCCCCGGCCTCTTGAGTGAGATGGGCGCACAACCCCAGAGTCTGTCAAGACTGGCCCATACGGGCAGGGGTACCTTTACCTTTTACAGTAACCTGAGCGGTAGCCCATCTATGACTCAGTTGCAGTACAGTGGTACCTCGGGTTAAGAACTTAATTCGTTCTGGAGGTCCATTCTTAACCTGAAACTATTCTTAACCTGAGGTACCACTTTAGCTAATGGGGCCTGCCGCCACCGCACAATTTCTGTTCTCATCCTGAAGCCAAGTTCTTAACCTGAGGTACTATTTCTGGGTTAGCGGAGTCTGTAACCTGAAGCGTCTGTAACCCGAGGTACCGCTGTATTTAACTGAATCAAG